AGAGAGAGAGAGAGAGAGAGAGAGAGAGAGAGAGAGAGAGAGAGAGAGGCAGGCCATGAGTACGTGGAGAGGGTGGAAGGGAATGGGCGAGGGGACAGAGTGATCAAGAGAGAGCAAGAAAGCAAGACCAAGAGAGAGAGGAGGGGGGCAAGCAGCCCCTTTTATAGTGGGCCGGCCTACCTGGCTATTGCCAGGTAACTGTGGGGGTGGAGTTAGACAAAATGCTAACAGCTCCTGCCCAAAGCGCAGTCAAGGCGCTTCTAGCCAATCCTGCCCGGTTCAATCCCAGGGGTGTAGGATGTTGCTCAGCGGGTGAGAGCCCTGGCTGCTTTTGATGAGGACGCAGGTTCTATTCCCAGCCTCACTCGGTGTTCACTACCCTCACTCCAGCTCTAGAAGATTTGATGCCCTATTCTGACTTCTGTAGGCACTGCCCGTACATGCTTGCAAACACCCATACACAGAGAATAAAAATAAATCTTTAAAAGTAACAAAGAATATTTAGAAGTCAGGAGAGAAGGCTTACTGGAAATCTTGGGGCTCCTCAACGGAGCTGGAGAATTGGGGCCCTTTGAGGGTTCTTAGCAGCATTAATAAAATGTAGCCAACAGAAGCTCAGATTATTAGAATTTGAAAGGAGAACACCAGGCCAGGCAAGCTTACGGGAGGAGGGTGATGGGGGCATGGAGGTCAGCCTGAGGTGGAGGACACTTTAGTGAGGAAGCCAAAGTCACTTAGGGGTCTAAAGTGCAGTTATGTTCTGGCAGCACCCAAAGGAGAAAGGAAACAGCTGGGCCTGTTTGAGTCAGGCTTCAGAAAGGTGGAGACCCCAGATCTTGTGGAGACACTGGCGTGTGTCCCATTCTTTACCCAAAGAGTGAAAACAGGACCAACGCCCATTAAGTTGTCTTCTGACCTCCACGTGCAACGGCGGTGCTTGCGTGCATGCACACACATTAAATAAATGGCCGGGCAATGGTGGCACACGCTTTTAATGCCAACACTCAGGAGGCAGAGGCAGGCAGGTCTCTGAAACTAAACTAAGTTCTAGCTGGGATCTGGGCACCTTCCGTATCCAACTTAAGGTGAGCACAGCACATTCTCTCGCGTCCGCCTCCCTTAGGTCCCTCCTGCCCTCCTGGGTGGTCAGATGGACAAAGTGTGGGACTCTGAGAATGTATCCCAGGAACTGTCAGCATCCCTGGCCCGGTGAGTGTCAGGGCCCGGTGGGACTGGGGTGGATGTGTAAGGGGGTGTGGTTGGGAGCACCATATTCAGCAGACACCAAAGTGTGGGCTGGTCTGAAGGTGTGGGAGGTCAGGGACAGGGTTGAGAGGGCCTAAGATGGCCTCTCTTGCACCCTTGCAGGGCAGTGGACCTGCGGGCACAGCTGCAGTCCCTGCGGCGGCAGCTGGAACAGGTGGCTCAGAAGGGCCGATCCAGAGGTGCTCAGAGTGCCGAGCTCAACAGAGAGCTGTGCAAGGCTCACAGGTGGGACTCGGCACGGCTTTCCCCAGGCCTCAGTTTCTCCGCTTCTAAGAGAAGCAGCGGGCAAGCCCCCAGCTCCTGGCTTCCGTCCAGCTAAGTCCTTGTCCTAGCTCAGCCGGGCATCTCCCGTCTCTCCTGCTTGCAGCGCTCTGGCTTTGGCCTTTAGAGGAGCCCACCGGAAGCAGGAAGAGCAACGCAGGAAGTTGGAGCAGCAGATGGCTCGGATGCAGGCTCAACAGGCTGAAGAGCTGGCAGTGCTGATGGCCACTGCTAGGGCCCTGGGGAAGCCTGGGGCACCCCAGTCAGCCCAGACCTTCCTGTAGGGCTCGGACCAAGCTTGCATGTGACACAGAGGTGGCTGGAGTGTCACAGTATCCTGTGGTGTATGGAGAGGCAGCCCAGATACTAACAGCAGGGTCTGCTCTTGCGGGGACTTGGGTTTAATTGCCAGCCTCAACAGCCTTGGCGCCTGTGACTCCAGGTCGAGGAGAGCTGTCGCCCCCTTCTGGCCTCTGAAGGCTCTGCACTAATGTGTACATACCCTCCCTTACACATGTAATTAAACAAAATAACATACAAACCTGTCCTTTGTCCCTGGCAGCTGGAGTGTCTCTTCAAGAAGGGACTGAGGTGGGAAGGGCTTAGCTTAAGGATGTGATGGGAGACTTGTTTCAGGGAGAGGGACCCCAGGCTGCTTGGGAACCTGCATTTACAGGAAGTAGAGGGTTGTGGTTGCTCAGCAGGAAGACACCTGCAGAGCATGCTTGAAGCCCTCAGAGCTGCCTCTGTGTGCCCATCCCACCAGGCTGAGCTAAGGAGGCCTGCACTGGTCCAGCCCTTACGGAACATGAGGGAGTCTTCTGCAGAACACAGAGGAGGAAAACAAAGGCCTTGTTGGTTGGAGTGTAGGCTAAGCATGCACAGGGCCCTGAGTTCCACATGCACCTGGAAGTCTGAGCCTACCTGTGATGCCAGCACTCAGAGTCTAAGGCTATCCTTGACTACATAGTGTGTTTAAGGGCAGCCTGGTCTACCTGAGACAGTATCAAAGAATGCAGTGAATGAGGGGTTGGAGAGATGGCTCAGTGGTTAGGTGCACTGGCTGCTCCTGCAGAGGACCCGGGATCCATTCCCAGCACCCACATGGCAGCTCACAGCCGTCTTGTCACTCCAGCTCCAGGGGTCTGGTGCCCTTTCCTGGCTTCTGTAGACACCAGGCAGACACAGCACACAGACACAAATGCAGACAAAACACACATACACCTCAACATAAAAGCAAAAAAGGAATGAATGAATGAATGAATAAGATAAAATTAAAAGTGTGACCAGAGAGATGGCTGACTGGGCAAGGTGCTTGCTGCCAAGTGACAATCTGAGGTCGGTGTTCAACCTCCAGCTCCCACATAAAGGTGGACGCCACACTTATGCTGACAGCCACACAATAACCCTTGGTGTTGTTAAACTGAGGAGCAGGAGAGACACCTCATAAGGGCACCTACTGCTCTTGAAGAGGACCAGAGGTCAGTCCCCGGCACCTAGAATAGCTGCTCACAGCCACCTGTAACTCCAGTTCCAGGGGATCTGATGCCTCTGGCCTCCTAGGGCGCCACACACAGATACACATAATTGAACATAGTGAGAATAAAATTAAACTTACTGTAGTACATGATAGACAGCCTCTGGGTGGGGATACCTGGAACAACACCCAAGAGGGCTTCGGAGGACAGGGTGAGCGTGACAGGACAGGACGCACTGTGTAAGTGTGTGTACTAGCAGCAGCTGACTGAGTCGTCATGTATGGCCACACACCCCTTGCTTGGGTGGGGGCTGGGCTGCGATTCCGTTGTTCCCCTCTTGGCTGAAACCTTAGAGCAGGCCTAGCATGCAGGCCACACCTGTGCAGCTGTTCTGCACAGCTGTCCGGCCTGGGGGTGGGGATGGGGAGGACGGCCTCAGTGCCTCAGGTAGCAAGAGCCAGAGGCTGGAGCGTCCCTGGGGTTGAGGACCTATTTTTGTCCCACCCTCTGGGGGAGGGGTTTGAGGGATCAGGACGGTGAGGCAGGGTACCTTGCTGGTGTGTGCCGGCTGGGGGGTGGAGGGGGACTGCTTCCTTCCTTCCCGCCCTACACATCTCCAGGATCCCTGTCATGCGGCACCCAGAATGGAGTTCAGGCGAGCGCCTTTGCCCGGCTAGCTGGCCCAAGCCTTTTTAACCTTTAGCCACCAGATCGTTAGCGGTCCGCCAAGGTCACCTGCTGGGGGTGGGGGGTGCAGGGCTGGTTCCCAGGCAGCTCCGACAGAATCTGGCTGTTCCCACGGGCGTCCCAGCAGCAGATGGGCCCAAGTGTCTTTGTCTCTGGGTCCTCCACAACCACAAGGTCAAATGTCACCTCGGGGCCACGGGCAGGGGTTATGGGGGCGGGGCAAGGCTCAGCACACCCGGTTGGGCCCAAGGGTTAGGGAGCCAAAAGTGGCAGGGTGACTAGCACAGGGCTGGACCCCTCTGGAACTCACTTTTTCTGACTCCAAACTTTTCCCTTTGGGTCCCTCACTAAGCCTAGTCTCCCAAAATCCTTGTTTATTTGAACTTCTGTAACTCAGCCCCTCTTCCAAAGCCCATTTTACTCCTAAGCCCTCCTTCTGCCCCTCCACCCTTTCAGTCCTTTCTTGAGATACTGGCAGCAAGGATTCGAGAATAGTCCAATCTAGGACTGCCCACATCCCAAATAACCAATATTACCCCTAAACTGATTTATCTTCTGGGCCACCCAGGGTTTGTCACCACTAAAGCAGAGCCAATTCTAATCAGATTCCTGGGAAGTCCTCGCTCCAGTCTGATCCTAGTCCTTCCTGCTTTCTATATTTAGATTTTCACATGGTATTCTGGTGGATTCTTCTGGGTAGGTCCAACGGCACAGAGCTGGGTGTACCTGGCTAGCAGAAACCTGCACTTCAGTTCCCTTAAGTCCCCTTATGTGAGGGCTCATCTTGTGGGATGATTTTCACAAGGCCCTTACAGAAGAGAGGGCACCCTGTCCAGGCTGGCCGCGTGCCCTGGTGTCTACACTGGACCCAGGCCTGCATAGGAGGCACAACAGGCCCGGCGGTCAGAACTGTGACTCAGGGGTGAAAGGTCGCCACAAGAGGACCTTTTCCAGCCGGTACCGGTTAAACGTTAACAGACTTAGAGTCAGGCCTCAATCCCATCTAGGCCTCAAATGTGAAGGGAGCTTAATAAATGCGTGCCCCGGGGGTCCCTGCATACAAAGGGTGCTTAATAAATGCTTGCTCCAGTAGAATTGGAGGGGGCAGGGGCGTGGCGGCAGCTGGAAGGCTCCGGACGTGGGGGAGTGGGGGGGGGACATCTGTGGCTCAGCCGGGTCACCAGGCCAAGCCCTTTCGGTGAAGAAAAAAAAAAAGGAAAGGAAATGAAGGGGGACCCGGGACAACAGCCCCGGCTGGCACGCCTTCCGGCCGGAGGGGCGACAGACGCCCTGCCTCTCCCACCCTTGAAGCCTGAAAGGAGAGAGGGGACCCCTTGACCTCACGGCGCAGCCCTCCACCCCCAGACTCCGGACACCAGGTGTTCACCGGAGCGGAGCGCGGGGCGGGGCGGGCGGGGCGCGGAGACCCTGGGGAGGAGGGGGCCGCTCCAGCTGGCAGCCGAGCGGAGCGATGCGGGGGCGCGCGTGTGCGGCGGGGGCGTGCCCGGGTGCAGATGTTCCCGGGGGCGCGGCTGCCGGGAGCCGCGAGGCGCTCCCCGATGCCCCGGACAGGGCGCGCAGGGGTTAAGGCTGCGCGGCCGCGTGGGGGAGGGTCAGCCGCGTGCCCCGCCCCGCCCTTTCGCCGGCCCACAGCTCCGGGCGGCGCGCGGCTACCCCATGCCCTTATAAGGG